ATCTTAGATCTTAGATCCATTGATTCTTATTTTTTATTGGAACTCCAATTTCTTCTTTAATGCAGAACAATATAACTTTCTAAAACAAAAGAGAATATTTTACATCACTTTAAATGTTATGAGCAGGTTAAAAGAAAGACGTCACCCCAAAAGGTATCACATTAAGAATAGGAGTAGTGATTTCTAGAGGTGGGGGAGGGGAGGAGAATCATAGACTGCACAGAATGGTGCCAATGGGAAGTCACACCAAGAAGATCTGGTGTGTTATCACACAGTAGGGCAACCATTAGCAATAAAAATGTATGTTATATTTATAAGTTAGGTAGAAGTACATTGAAAGTTTTTGCCATAAAGTACAAATTTTTGAAGAAATAAGTGTTTAGTCTGTGTGTGTGTGTGTGTGTGTATCACATGGAACCCCATTACTGTAGAATTTTATTATTTTGTATAATAATTAAAACTATTTAAAACGATGTACTAAGATACATTGATCATCATATTGAAGTCTCTGTACTTATTAAAATCATAAATTAACATGTTAAACCTAGGGTTACATAATAGAAAACTTTTATTTGACTTCTTGTTTCCAAATTCTATTAGAATATTATAATTTTTTGAGTTAATGCCATGCTTGTCTACCTGGCAGGGTTCAGAACAAATAATAAACACTATTTCTTCTGATGTGAGAGCACCCTCAATGGGGTATACACATGGGGAGAAAGGTTTATGCTAGCTCCAAGGCCAACTAAGAACACATAAAGTCTTAAAATACGAGGTACTTAAATATAGCATTATCTGCTATATTAATTTATGTTTAACATAACATGTGTATCCAATAGCCCCTTTTAATAACCTGCATGTTGTATTAAAAGTGGAAAGTCATTTCTGATTCAAAGATAAGTTTCTGGAATAATTAGCAGTCTACCAGTGTTTTCAAAGAGCTGACATTGGACAGTTTGACTCCACACATTCAGTGAAAATATCCTAAGTTGGAGCTAATCAAATAAGAATTTCTTGTCAGTCTCATTAAGAGAAGTTGTAAAATCACTCATATTAAGAAAGGAGGACCCATAAAAAGATTTTAGTGATTTCACTAAAAAATTCTTCCATCTCAAAACTATTTTTTTCCTGCCAGAAAATTGAGCATAGTTCTTAAAAAACAAAATATCAGTTCTAGATAAATAGGTTTAATGCTCATCGCTGTGTAGATTAATAGTCTTAATTATACAAAAAAGACTCTTTGCCTTCTCTTGAATTCCGTTCAAACAGCCCCATCCAAACAACCCTGCACCATTTGCACTGAGGTAAGAAGTTTGGTATTCCACTTTTATATTCACTGAGAATAAAGGTGCATTCTGTAAAGTTTTAGAAAGATTATCTTCTCTGACCTCACACGTCTGCTGCAGACACAAGAGGATCTGAGTCAATTTTGCTAAATGAAACAGATTTTTTTTCTTACCATATAACCTTTGTTCCCTATTGAAAATTTCAGTGGAACTGCCATTTTTGGTTTTTATTAGCTGTTACATTGGTAAATTGTTAAGACAAGAATGGGTCTTAACTCATACAAGAAGCCCAAGCTATTTCATAAGATGATTAAAGTTGTATTGGCACACATAAGTAGATGAGAAGTGGAAGCAACTCTATAGTCTGTAGAGACTGGATATTCTGACATTTCCCTTGATGGTAAAGTTTCAGATGACTCAAAGTATCTAAATATGAAGGTAGGGAAAAAGAAATTTGCAATTGGAGTTACAGGAAAATAAAAGTTTCACTGTCTGAAAAAATATGAAAGAACCCAACAAGACATTGTTTATATTCAAATTGTTTGCAGATGTTTAAAAGCTTATTATTTATTCATTCATTATTGGCAAACTGTCATAGTAATTTTCAAACTGCTTTTAACCATACGAGTTAACACTTCAGGAACTGAGATCAGGTTTTATTTTGGCATGTTCTAAGTTGATTCACTGTGAATGGCTGCTGAAATTTCATTTTCTTACATATAATTAAGAACCAACTCTAAAATTTTGGTTGAAGCTATTTCTTTTGCCATAGTAAGCCACAAATACATATGGCCTTGATTCATATTTTCCCTATTATTTCTACTGATTCATTGCCAATACTTGCTTTAAAGTTTCACTTTATTTTAGACATTTGGAAAACTCTTTATGTTCATGTATGATATATACTACATTATGTCATATAATGTTGAACCACTAATGCCCAACAGAGCTAGCAGTGACATTCAACACACAATCAGCTTTGTTCATTTTCCCAGGACAATCTGGAAGAGTTTTGTGATGCCAAGATTAGCTCAGTTTTCCCCTGAATTTCTCAACTAGGTTAATAGAATCCAGAAGGCCCAGAGTTAGTAAAAAAAAAGAATTATCCTTTTAGTTGCGTGCTCCCATCTGCCATTAAAGCAAAGAATAGCAACTGGGTAAAAAATGCTTATTTTCAGTTGTATAATTAATAATAAGTGTTTGAATGTTTTGTTGTATTTACTGATGCTAAGTTTTTAATATACATAAAGTTAAAACATTTACATTTATGGAAAATTGTGGTGTGACATTTTATCTTACTAAATAGTACCTTGGCACATAGCAATTATGTAGGGGAAATGTGATTTTTTTTAATGAAAGTAAAAAAATTATGTTTCAAACTTTCACCATTTTCACTGTATTCTGTAAATAGTTATGACTGCATGACCCCTCCAAAAAAATCACATTTTGTCAAAACATAAAAAATGTCATATATTCTCATTTATCTCCCTGCAGACGAATCGGGATGCAGCCACCTTGGTCAGTCCTATGAGTCCAGGGATGTTTGGAAGCCAGAACCATGTCAAATATGTGTCTGTGACTCCGGATCTGTCCTCTGCGATGACATAATATGTGATGAGGATCCACTAGACTGCCCCAACCCAGAGATCCCATTTGGAGAATGTTGTGCAATATGCCCACAGCCTTCAACAGCTGTGAGTCTATAGGATATATAAGTTCTTCAAAGACTACATTTTTAAGATTCATATTTAAACATATGGATAGCATCTATAACAAAGAGAACTGGAAGGAACTGTAAGCCATGTATGTTAAACAGACATGCTGTCTTTACAAGTGAATGATGTCACTTCTAATTGAAAGCAGGGGATTGGGTGTAATCAGAATTAAGAAATAGTTAAGAATAGTGCCATAATTTACATATATTAATCTTTATATCGTTTATACTTCATAGGCTCCTGTACCTCCTGATGGTCACGGACCTCAAGGCCCCAAAGGAGATCCAGTGAGTAACATCTCCCCAAGGAGAAAAGTTAATGCTAATGACATTTCTAGGAAAGGGTTATTTTCCTTGTCATATTATTTCTATATTCAAACTGAACTTTCATCATTCTGAATTTTCTTCTGTCCTGTGCACTTGAAAATTATGCCAAAGTCAAATTGAAAATATATAACTGTGCATGTAAAGATTCACTTTTGCCAAACTTTGCAAGTCTTCATCCCTTTGTCAATTTGAAACACAAAATGCAGGTCAAGATACAAAGGAAAATAATAAACTTCAATTATTCATAAGACTTAGTTTGAAATATACTTACCCCCAAGAACAAATATCATTGTACTATAATTAATTCAATATACAATGGAAGAAAATTCCTAATACTGATTCTAAATCACCCCGTATTTTACCAGTATTTTTGCCTTATTTTGTTTAGGGGCCTCCTGGCATTCCTGGGAGAAATGGTGATCCTGGCCTTCCAGGGCAACCAGGTCTCCCTGGACCTCCTGGCTCTCCTGGAATCTGTGAATCATGTCCAACTGGTGGTCAGGTAAGAAATTACAGACTTAAAACCCCCTCCATGCAAGAGGATTAGTTTGTCTTCATTTGGTCTGTATGACATCTCACAACAGCAACTTTTGTCCTCTGGTTTTATATATTTAACAAATCCTTACTTAGTGTTTCTATATGCTAAGAGCTTTAAAAGTATCCCACTGTCACCATGCTATTATGATTGTTGCTTTATCTTTCTAAAATGTCCTGACTTCTTAGCAAATATATGCTATACTCACTATGTTTGATGAATGGACTATCAGCTCCTAAAATAGTTAACTTTTTAATTTATAAAGTGTTGAAATTACAGATTATTCCTTAATTCCTCTCCTAAAACTAATGACAATGCCTTTGGAGGCTTGGGCACTAAGCAGTTAACAGCTCCAAAACTAACTTATCAACTTCAGATAAACAGAGCTGTGTGTGCTTCTGTGGCTGCTGAACAGAATTCAGCCTCCAACACACACATTTCTCCTTCTGAGTCATGGCTACCAATCAGTCTGCACATAGAACAAATAATCAAGAATATAAACACTACAAAGTTCAGTTGTAAGGGTTTAAGTGAACTTGGAAACTACACAGACAAATATTTGTGATTTATAAAAGTGGTTTTCTAAAACAATTCAGCAGCAATGAGCATGCTGGAAATCAAATAGAACCTATCTAGACCTAGAACTCAAAATAAGCTCTGAGCATTTCTGATATTTTTCTAGTTTACAATGGTTCAATACTTATTTTGTAGGAGTTCATCTTTTATTATATAAAATCAGAAACTACATATATATATTTGTATATATATTTATGAATTTTATTGACCTCTTTGAAAATTAACTTTACTATCCCATGTTTAGCTGGAGATTACAGACTTGGGGGTCTGTGATATCAAAGTTCCTTTGTCCTCAAATATTCAATTACTCTGTGTGTAATACTATAACACTTATATAGAAATAATGGTTTCAGTAATACCATTGGAGGTCAAATTGAAAGGGAAAGTTTTCATTTAATAGTTTGCTAAAATCTTTATACATTACACAAGCAAGTATTTCTGTAGTGAGCATAATATTTAAAGTCATAAAAAGACAATAAGCAAGACAAACATCACATCTGCATGCAGAAATACATCCGTGAACAGCATATGTTGCGTGTGCTTATTCTAAATGCTCTTGAAAAGAACTATGATCTTTGTATTAATATGATCTGACCTATGTACCTAATCTTTTGCTACAGAATTATTCTCCCCAGTATGACTCATACGATGTCAAGTCTGGAGTAGGAGCAGGAGGACTTGGTGGTGGCTATCCTGGTCCAGCTGTATGTACAAATGTTTTTGAGCATTTTCAAACATCACTCAACCTTTGTTTCTTAACTCTTGAGTAATGTTCTTCTAGAAATATATTTTCAGGAAATTTTACAAAAATGGCTCATTGACTACCAGAATTGGGAGGGAAAACAGCAACTCTGTCATGATTTTCTATACTAACGCATTTCCTTCTTTTGGCATTTGAGCCCATGCCAGTATTGCTACTTCCTCATGTCCACCTGCATAGGGGCTCCCCCATCAACATGCTTAGTTACATACTCACCTCACAGACTCTCTAATTGAATGTAATTTTGTTAAGGCTTGTTTCTACTTTTCATCATCCCATCCAAGTTGCTCAGTATCTTCTTTTCATGTTTTATTTCATTGAACTTTTCATTCTAAATGAGTCTAACTCATGAATGTTCAATATCACATTCCATCTTTTCTCCAAGTTTTAAATCAAATGTGAATATTATATTAGTTATTGATCTTTTATGGTCATCTATCTTTTGGGGAGGTTGAGACAGGGTTTCTCTGTGTAGATTTGGAGCCTATCCTGGCACTTGCTCTGGAGACCACGCTGGCCTTTTACCTTCACAGAGATCTGCCTGCCTCTGCTGGAATTAAAGGCATATACACCAATGCCAGGCTCTCATCTATTTTAAACAATACCAATTCACCTTGACTGTGAAGGACTTTCCAAATGTAAAAGGCCTAGAGTTTTAATAACAGAAAACAGCACTAATCATTCAAAGCTGGATTTGAATGTGTAATAAAATGACATATGTTGCTGACTCTTGCTTTGGATTAAGTCTCAGGAAGAGTGATTATATTGAAGCTCATAATTTACTTAGATTAACAGAAACATCAATGTAAATAAATACAATATGCCAACAGGTTTGTGGCTTCTAAAGTTAAATAAAGAAATTTTACCAATAGATCCAAAAGATCTGCTAAAGAGTATTACAATTGGTATAAATAAAATTTAAAAAATAAATGTTTATAATTTTCTAAGTTTTTGGTAGATTTTTTTTTAATTTTTGAAAGTCACATGGAGAATCAATCATTTTTGTGGACATTGGTTATTACTATACTCATGTTATAAGCCCTCCTTTAATAAGATATACAAAACTAAATAAAACTACCATTTACTAACATTCCAGAAAGATAAGCTAAAATTAACTTAAAAATTTGGTTTCAGAATTTAGAAATCGTATACTACTGGTTTTCTAGCTTGGTCTGCACTTTTGAATGGTGATTACATCAACTTGCTTTAAGTTGTGAGTGACCCATACTTAATGGTTTCATTAAGTCTTCACATCAACATGACTGTGACATATCAATATAGCCATGAGGTTTGGAGTTGACTGACATGATTATTTAAGAAACTTGAATCATGATAGCTATAGTGTGAAGATATTTTCCACATAATGCTCAGACAAAAGACAAGAAATTGTTTACAACTCAGGAAGGAATCACTGAAACATTATAAAACTTATGACACTTTTTTTTACTGATTTTCTCCTCTCTGAATTCTGTCTTAAGGGTTGAAGTTAATATTTTTAATATTGATTAATAATCTAAATTGCCTCTCTAATTTCATCTGGAGTAAGGTTTTCATGCAAAAATCTTTATTGGAAACCTCATAGAACTAAGCATACCCAGGCTTGTTACTAGACAGTAAGATATAACCACATATGTTTTAAAACACGCAGGCATCATGTCTGAACAGACATCATTCATGTGCAATGCACTTCACATCTATCTACTTGCTTATTATTCAAATTTACATTCTAGGGTCCCCCAGGCCCTCCTGGTCCCCCTGGCTCAGTTGGACATCCTGGCTCCCCTGTAAGTATAACTCTTTCCAGCGTTTTCAGGTTCATGAATATATAAATCAAGTTAATGTACATATGAATATAATTCAGCCATTTCAGCATGAACCAATCCCAACTAAGTAAAGAGGTTGCAAAAAAGAACTTGATTATTTTTAAATGTTACAATTTTATATTTAATTTTTTCTCTAACAACCAATCGCAGTTAAAGCCTTGGTAAAAGATAGTTGTTTCATTTGTACACAATATGCCTTTGAGTTAAGAACCATTCAATTTCAACTTCAGTGAAATAAACCCAATGGAATATGTTAACTATATTTGATCCTGAAAAAATGTTTTAAATCTTCGTAAACTGTGGTGATATTTCTGGCTGTATTCACTAATCATCGCTTCTTGCTATCCTCAAGGTGTAAGTTACTCACCCATGTGAAGCTCTTGTTATTTTATTTACAAAAATATATTTCATGGTATAATTATCATGTAATAATTATTATGTAATAGTGGAAGTGTTACATAATGCATTAAAATATATTTGCAATATTATTGTACTTTAGGGTTCTCCTGGATACCAAGGTCCCCCTGGTGAACCTGGTCAAGCTGGTCCTTCAGTAAGTAACACTTAAGGATTACTGAACACATTGACAATTCACTTCCCATGTGAAATTTATCAATTCCTCAGTCATTCATGGCTTCATCTAGAGTGTATGTTTGAACTTTTACATAACAACTTAGCATTTTGTCATGTTTGAGGTGAATTCAAAGATCTTAGAGATTCCTAACTGGTCAACTGTCCAAATCATCCACTTCTCAGAGTTAACAAAGATCATCTGTCTAGGATATGATCATCTAAAGTGTCTGTAGAGTCCCCTTGTATCTATTCCATCACTGTGCTTATAGGCCTACATATATCTGCATATAGTGGAGATAAGGATCAGAGTCCTCCATAATCATATACCATAAATATATATAGAAACTAAAATGAATGTTATTTTAATACATTTCAAAATATTGAGAAATGTCTTTGCATATTGACTATACATAGTCAATGTCTCAAAATACGCAAGTGAATATATAAATACACATTTTTAGTATGAGACATAGATACATGATATTTAAAGCTTTCACTAAATTTTAATCAATAGTAAAAATGAAATATAATGAAGGTATAATATTAATTTAGTGTAATTTTCATTATGAGATGAACAGAAGGATGTTTCAGGGATAGTTTTCCTTCCAGAATGCACTTAACATACAATGACAAAATGGAACAGAAAATTTGAACTTATCTGTTTCTATTTTCTCATTTCAGGGCCCCCCAGGACCTCCTGGTGCTATTGGTCCATCTGGTCCTGCTGGAAAGGATGTAAGTATTTACATATTTATAGGTTGAATAAAAATATTGCAAAATTCAACTTGAATGATAAACCATCTATTCTTTATACCGTTAGAGAAAATGGGAGGGTCAAGAGTACGGCATCAGCCAGGCTATTTACGGAGATTGTGTCTCAAATACATAATTGGAAGTAGTCTGATCTTACAACTATATGTTTAATCCAACCAGATTGCTCCTTAGCTACACCACATTTCCTCACGCATAAGCCTTTATATATCTTTATTTCTCTGCCTAGGGAGAGTCAGGAAGACCGGGACGACCTGGAGAACGTGGACTGCCTGGTCCTCCAGTAAGTCTTCTCCATTTGATAAGCTACTTAGTCACAAGTATTTTAAATTCAAAAATGCATAATCAAATTGAAGTAAACTTTAAAGTAAAATGCACGTTATCACCAGATTTTGATTCTACTTGAATGTTAATGAGCATCTTTCCCATTAATTACTTTTAGGGTATCAAAGGCCCAAGTGGCATGCCTGGATTCCCTGGTATGAAAGGACACAGAGTAAGTGACCCTAAGCTTAACTCTAACCCTTTATTCATGGATTTAGTAGACATAATTTATAAATGGACAAAGCATCTTTATTTTTAACTAAACATTAGATAAAATCAACCAAGTGCAAAATGTATAAACCTAATAGGAGCAAAATCCATCAAACTAGGCTTTACTCTTCTATAATGAAGGCAACTTTCCAATCAGACTGAATGGAACTTTTTTCTTCTATAAAAACAATGCCAATGTTTGATGTTTAAAGTACTTTACATTATTTAAATTATCATTACAATATGTAATAAAAGCCAGTAATTAAATTCAGTTTAAAACTTCCATTCTAAATTGTGAGCAAATTTTAAGAATTTCTCTGTTTTTAAATATTTCTAGGGTTTTGATGGACGAAACGGAGAAAAGGGTGAAACCGGTGCTCCTGGATTGAAGGTGAATTACCATACACTTCATTCATGAATAAACTCATTTAGAGTCTGCATCTGTGTTAAGACTCACTTTATTGGACCTAGTTTTGTCCATCAACTGCTCTTTACGTATTATTGATGGCTTAGGGTAGCCCCTAAAAGCTCCTATGAGCTGATAACAAAGAATCTGGCATAGAAATGTTTGTGTGTCCCTGTGTGACTTATGAATGTGTATAGTTGTCATGTACTTAAAAGGCAGAAATTTAAATGTATGGTAATTAAAATTAAATGTTTACAATAATTTAATATTACTGAAGTGTATGTTTTCCTTAGTATTTTCTATGATGCAACATTTGTAACATCAAAGTGTTTGCTATATAAAATAGTAACATTTTGTATGTCTCTAGGGTGAAAACGGTCTCCCAGGTGACAATGGAGCTCCTGGCCCCATGGTAACTATGATTCTTCATATGATTTTCAGTCTTAGTTTAACCATCCAGCTCCATCACCTTTCTCCTTTCTCCTGTTCTCACACATGTCAGGTTTACAGTAAGATCATACTCTCAATTTTGCCTGCAGGGTCCCAGAGGGGCTCCTGGTGAGAGAGGACGGCCAGGCCTTCCTGGAGCTGCAGTGAGTATTGCCACAGTGTACCCAAATGAAACAGGATGTTGTTGTTTTTTTTAATGTAAAAGCTGTCTTCAAAATCAGCTCAGTCCAGGGAAAGGAATGTCTTGTATTTTATCTCAGTTGGCATTGGGGTGTCAGTTTCATACATTCATTAGAGCACATATCTGCAGTCAGTTCTAAAAACCTAGAATGTAGGCCTGCTCCATGCCACCAATGTGGTGTCTCAGCATTGTAACACCAACTCTGAAAATACATGATAGTAAGTCGATTTTAATATATTGAGGAAAATTCATTTCAGCTGACCGTGAATTGTAGCCAGACATTACTGGTAATTAACCTTCATAATTAAGAAAATAATTGAGACAAACTTCTCTTTTTAGGGTGCTCGAGGCAATGATGGTGCTCGGGGCAGTGATGGCCAACCAGTGAGTAACTTTGTATCTAAACCTACTTTGTTCCAAAGTACCTAGAACTTATGGATATATATTTTATTATCACATTGTTATATAGCAAATCCATATTGTCTCTTGATGACTATTTATAAACATGATAACAATTTGTAGGTCCATGTCATTCAAACTGGTACTGACCCTCTAAACTATGCCTCCATTCTAGCATGACCATTTCCCCAGTCACTTGTTGACATATATTTAGCATACACTTGTGTTGAATATCCAATATTGGATATCCCAACAAAGAGTCATGCAAAATACTACATCTATGTAGTAAACAGCAGCATGAAGCTCAGGAGTTAGTGTCCTGCACAGTCACAGGATTTATGGAAAAGTGGAAAGAAATACAGATGATCTCACCTCAGATATGACCTTCTTATCTTACACAATGTTCCTCTGTAGAATACTCATGTGAATGGCAAACACCCTTGCATTTACATGACATCTCGTGTATTTTAGAGTTTTCATGGATCATTTCCTAGGAGGCTTCATTTGATTATTATTCTAACCACTTTTCATTACATGGAGATTTACATTGTTTTTAGGGTCCCCCTGGTCCTCCTGGAACCGCAGGATTCCCTGGATCCCCTGGTGCTAAGGTAAGCATGTAGTTCTTCAGAAGAATGTATAAATATCTTACAGACAAAAGCACATTGGATTGTTTCCCAAAGCTGACTTGTAAAATAATCAAATGTAGATTTTCATCTAAAGAGAACTTTAATGTCCTAATCCTGATTCTAATATATGCATGTATAATCCTGGTCCTAATATGTATATATATACTTGATTCATATATATGCATTAGCACTCTACTATTTTACCATCCTGGTATTTACTCTGATGGTGTCTGCCTTTTCCCAGGTACCTTCTAGGAGACAGCTAGAACCCATATCTACCTTTGTCCCTGTCTTTATGATTAGTGATCCTTTGTTTTATTAAAATATTTAACCATAGTACTATAACTTAGGGAAATAAGTTTAAACAGAACTGAAGATTAAACTAAGTTATTAGAAGTTGAAAGGAAAACTGACATGTTGGGATTTGACCCTTCAGGGTGAAGTTGGGCCTGCAGGGTCCCCTGGCTCAAATGGCTCTCCAGGACAAAGAGGGGAACCTGGACCACAGGGACACGCTGGTGCTCAGGGGCCTCCTGTAAGTAGAAGATAAGGCTGAGTGGAGACAAGCTACTAGGCTTACTCCTCTGAAGCATGCTGGGACATTGCTAGCAATCAAAATGGGTTCCTTGAAAAAGTGTAGTTTCATGTTTGACCGTGATTCAATCAGTAATGGAAATGGGAATTTGTGCATTCTAGAACTCATGAATGTTAATATTTACATAGTGCAGAGTAGAGAATGGATAGGCTAGTTATCCGATGCTTAGCAGGTTGCCTGTACTAACCACCAACCAGAAAATAAAACCCAAAACTTCTCTTATTCTTGTATTATTTAACAATTTATACCAAGTACATATTATATCTGAATTAATTTGTAATTATTTTCCTAATTTTATATGTTGTGCTACTGTTAAAGAAATAACATATTCTCTACAATACTTAATACCTGCCAGTAAATATATTCTCTAGACAAAGAACTCCAAACACACATGTTCAATCAGCATTCCTGCTAATTCCTTTGTGTACCTAGGGCCCTCCCGGGAATAATGGCAGTCCTGGTGGCAAAGGTGAAATGGTAAGCTGGGTCACACTCTATTCATCTCATACCAATTTATGTATTTAAGTCTGATGGTAGAAAAGAAGGTCTGTGCATGGCTAATGTTAGTGTTTGTGTTGTCCTTAGGGTCCTGCTGGCATTCCTGGAGCTCCTGGACTAATGGGAGCTAGGGGTCCCCCTGGACCAGCTGGCACTAATGGTGCACCCGGGCAACGAGGTCCTTCAGTAAGTTTGTCGCTCCTTCAACACCTGGAAGTTCATGCTTAACTCTTAAAACAAAATATTGGTATTCCTTTTACTCCTTCTCAGTTGAGTTTATATGGTCTCCCTCTAGCTGTATAACATCTTACTGGTTATGATTTTCTTAGTCAAATCCTGTTTTTACATAAAGATTTTGTTTCATTTTAGGGTGAACCCGGCAAGAATGGTGCCAAAGGAGAGCCAGGAGCTCGTGGTGAACGGGTCAGTACTCAACCAACATGCTTGGTTACTTAGAAGAATTGCAGTGAAATGAGAAAATAATTGGTAAAAGTTTCTCTGCTGAATTTCATTACAATTATTTATCTTTTTAGGGGGAAGCTGGTTCCCCAGGAATCCCAGGGCCTAAGGGTGAAGATGGCAAAGATGGATCACCTGGAGAACCTGGTGCAAATGGACTTCCAGGAACTGCTGGAGAAAGGGTAGGTTTCCGTACTGACCTGCTTCACCTTCAGGGCACAGCAACCTTTGATATTTTTTTCCTGTTTGCTGAGACAGGATCTTCCTTATACACTAGGATGGCTTGGACCAGGCTAGTCTCAAACTCATGGCAATCCTCCTGATTTAGTTTTCTAATAGTGAATTGCTTTTACATGGTGTCTCACTACAGGCTGACCTCAAACTTAGGGACTCCTAACAGCCTCACAAGTGTGGAGATTGAAGGTGCATGACCACATCCTTCTATCCACAGTTTTTCTTTGAGTACCCAATTTAAACTTAAAACCCTGAAGAGTCAGTTTGCTTATTTCTGTTTTGTTTGTACATTTTGTTGATTGATTGTTTTGTGATTTAGTCTTTTTCACTGTTTTGGAGTTTGGGTGTTGTCTTATTTAGTTTTATTTTTTCAATTCTGGGAAGTGACCCAATGACCTGTACTTGGTGGGAAATGCTCTACCACTAAATTAAACCCTAACTTCTATTTAAAGAACTTTTCAACCTAAGGATATCTATACTGCTACCAATGGATTATGGACAAGTTTTAATCTTTTAGACTGAAATATTTAACTGTCATTGTTTCCAGGGTGCTCCTGGCTTCCGAGGACCTGCAGGGCCAAATGGCATCCCAGGAGAAAAGGTAAACACTCCAGTTCCTAAATGTCATTACTATCAATAGGTATTTCCTCTATACATTATCCCATTGGTGGAAAGATAAGTATCTGGAGAAAATGTATCATAATAACAAAACACAAATCATCTTCTCATGACTCTAGTCATGACTCTACTTCCTGGGCTTTGTGATGAGTGAAGTCACTTCATCTGTCAGTGAGTGAGAATCACTAATTCCAACATCACTGCAGGAACAGCAGATAGCACCCGGAAGTGCAGAGAAAGCTCGAAAGTAACTTCTAACCATTAGTGATGCTTATCTTTAAACACACATAAACATATACCTAAGTCCAATTAATAGTTTCTTATAAGCATGGGATATTCACCATAGTTGCCTCATTTTTTTTCTCCCAACAAGACACTCCAAGCTAAACCATATGATCTTAAAGAGCAGAACTCAGCAAGACAAACAGCTCTCCTTGAGAGGTCAAGTAATTCACAGATTAAGAGTGTCAGTGTCTAATTCAATCAAAAGCCTCTAAAGTTTGTTATCTCACAACTTAGGGTCCTGCTGGGGAGCGTGGTGCCCCAGGTCCTGCAGGGCCCCGAGGAGTGGCTGGAGAACCTGGCCGAGATGGAAACCCAGGAGGCCCAGGAATGAGGGTAAGGAGATATGTTTGTTTCAATAATGCTGCTGTAATGTGGTAAGAAGAAAGACAATACAAATAATAACAGACCCAAACCAACTTCAACCAAACAATACCTTTCAGAATGCTCAAAGTAAACAAGCTAAATTCCTTTAAGAAAACATGGGTTAAGACAGATGAAGGGGGAAAAAAGAAAATTTAGTATTTGACTAAGATAAATTTTTTAACAGAAAATAGGGAGTGCATTTAAAATGCAACATATACACATGTAAATATCAAAATTGTTCAGGTTGAGTATGTTGTACCTTTTCATTTAAAGTCACCTGACAGTTATGTTTTTCATTTAGGGTGTGCCCGGAAGCCCAGGAGGACCAGGCAATGATGGGAAACCAGGACCTCCCGTATGTACAATTATGACATCCCTTCTAATTAGCCCAGTAAAAAATGGGAGGCTTTCTGTGGCTAGATTTGAATATGTGAATGTATATGGTACTTTGATTATGTGTTCATCAAACTCTGACTAAGGCAGATGTTCTTCTTACTAGGGAAGTCAAGGAGAAAGTGGGCGCCCTGGTCCTCCTGGTCCATCTGGCCCCCGGGGTCAGCCTGGTGTCATGGGTTTCCCTGGCCCTAAAGGAAATGATGTAAGTGCTACCATTACTTTGTCTCTTCTTACTAGGGAAGTCAAGGAGAAAGTGGGCGCCCTGGTCCTCCTGGCCCATCTGGCCCCCGGGGTCAGCCTGGTGTCATGGGTTTCCCTGGTCCTAAAGGAAATGATGTAAGTGCTACCATTACTTTGTCTGATAAATATTTGACAGATGGGCTTTGACCTTCTGTAAGAAAATGCAAAGATACCCAAGACTTAGCATCTTCTTCAAACATGTGAAGAATATGTGAAGTTGAGCAGCATGTCAGAGATGAATGTAATGTATAATTGGAAGATACCCAAGACTTAGCATCTTCTTCAAACATGTGAAGAATATGTGAAATTGAGCATCATGTCAGAGATGAATGTAATGTATAATTGGCTATCTGTGTGTGTGTGTGTGTGTTGTGTGTGTGTGTGTGTGTGTGTGTGTGTGTGTGAGAGAGAGAGAGAGAGAGAGAGAGAGAGAGAGAGAGAGAGAGAGAGAGAGACTTTACATGTGAAAGAGGATCAAAAAATAGGGTTTTGACTTTGATTAGGATTTTGTGGGGGGATTTATATTAACACTTTCCCTTTTCTTTAGGGTGCTCCTGGCAAGAATGGAGAACGGGGTGGCCCTGGAGGACCTGGCCTTCCAGTATGTGGCTTTTGTCTTTTTTTTCTGGCTGTCTAATCAATTTAGTCATCTCCAGACTCAGAACTTCTCTGATACATGTATTAATTCTGCTTCCCTAACTGCCATTGTTGTAGGGTCCTGCTGGAAAGAATGGTGAAACTGGACCTCAGGGTCCCCCAGGTCCTACTGTAAGTACTCATATGACTAAAGATAGAGGTAGGGTGGAAACAGAGCTGGGACAAGCCTTCAGAAATAATGCTATGGCTGCACTGTGTTACAATATTTCACCAAACACTTACTAGACATTGTTGTTTTATTATTGTGTTAAATGCTGGAATTTATTGTATGTTGTACTTAATTTGCCTTGTAGATCTTCTATAGCCTAAGTTTCCCAACTTTTTATACACTTAACTTTTAATGTAAGCAATAGGTCTGCTGAGATATGAAAGGTAGATTAAATATGAGAGGACAATTTTACAATGATGTATATCATTGTATTTCTCAACATAGGGCCCATCTGGTGACAAGGGAGAATCTGGACCCCCTGGTCCACAAGGATTACAAGTAAGAGCTTATTCTTTTAATGTTATTAGCTTTTAACAGACAATTCCATATTTCTCTTTCATACCTATTTTTGTGGCATAAATGTACTTCAGAATTTTTGCTACCATGCTACATGTTCATCTAAAACTTAATTTGTACTCTTTTTCTTCATTCTGAAATAGAATGTTAATAGTAGTTTCTTCTATGGCTATTCTAGAATGTATATGTAAAGTTATTAAAAAATGAACTGAACTTCTACAATTCTATATGCACACTTACTTCCTGTCACAATAAAAAGTTTATGTAGCTAAATTTATCTGCCCTTATTCATCAATACATCTGTACATCTGTATATAAAAAACAAAAATAAAGATATGAGCACAGGTTTGAAAGGAATAGCCACCCTCTTTCTGTCATTAGTTTAAGTAGGGCAAACAGCCTATACCTTAAAAATATTAAAATAATGTCATGAACTACATTGAAAAATATGTTTACATGTGAAAAACTTTCATAAAGCCATGTTTAAAGTGATCACATGATGTTATTCTGTTTATTTGCAGGGAATACCTGGTACCAGTGGTCCTCCAGGAGAAAATGGAAAACCAGGTGAACCAGTAAGTTGAAACTTATTTTTAAAAGTTAGAAACTACATTAAAAAAAGAATCAAAGAACATTTATTTATTATTAACTTTGTGTGCCCTCTTAGCTGAATTTTGATGATGTATATCAATTAATAGAGTCATTTGTTAGTATGTATGAAACCAATTAGATCTCTAGCAGAGTATACAGCAAGTACCTACCTGTCTGTCCATTTTCTTTGGAGAGGTATGTAGGATTATCAGAAGTTCAAGGTCATCCTTGACTACATAATGAGTTTGAGTTACATGAGACCCTATCTCAGAAACAATAATTAAACAAAGATGAGTTGCTTATTATGTCACTTACACAGACTTTAAATTTTGCTATAAGACAACAGAAATAAATAAAGCACATTGCTTTGAAATTTAAACAACATACAGGCATAGCAGATGTCAATATTGCTTATACTTGTGCAATGCATACTGAAAAATGCTTACCATTCATAATGCTGATCTTGTTGATCTTCTAGGGGCCAAAGGGAGAAGTTGGTGCACCTGGAGTTCCCGGGGGCAAGGTAATTTCTACTTTAACCTTTTAACTATGTTATGGAGCAACTGATTAGGCGAACACATTTTTCTTTTGCACATTGAACCAAAAGGGTCTTTGCTTTCAAGCTAAATCCATGTAAGCAAATTGCAAGCATTTCCAATGTACTTGCTCTATCTGAATACTCTATTTCTCTAACATTAATGTAAGCACCACAGACTCAGCCACCCAAGAGGAAGTGCTGCTAATGCATGGGCTCCCTACAGAGTATTGTTCTGCTGAAAGAAATGTAAACTTTACCTCTATGAATAATAACAGTAATTATGTCAAAACACTTTTACCTTAATCAAAACAAATGCACATTTCATTGTTTTATACTTTTTAAAAGATTCCTGTTCTCAAACAACTAATCAAATTTTATACTCATAAAAATATCAAAACTTTTAAGAAGTATGTTAAAACCTAGTAGACATAATCAAAATTATGTAATTTGCAATGCTTTTCTTTTCTGACAATGTGTTTCTTATGTGGATTACATTTTCGCTGATTGATAGGGTGATGCCGGTGCCCCTGGAGAACGTGGACCACCTGGAACTGCAGGGGTCCCTGGTCTTAGAGGAGGAGCTGGACCCCCTGGCCCTGAGGGAGGAAAGGTAACTGTAGTTTCTGATGCCCTGGACTTTAAATGATGCACTTTAACTACTTTCTTGTCATCTGCTATGTATCTTTCCATTGCAGGGCCCTGCTGGCCCCCCTGGTCCTCCTGGTACTTCTGGTTCTCCTGGTCTACAAGGGATGCCTGGAGAGAGAGGAGGTCCTGGGAGTCCTGGTCCAAAGGGTGAAAAGGTACTGGTTGTTTTATCTTTATTCTACAATAAAACAGACTTTGTTTAAGGAAGATAAAAGGAAGGCCACACTACCAGAATCCATTTTCAAAATTATTTTTACCATTTTATTTTATGTTAAATTTGACAAAGTCCTATAGCAACTATTAATCAAAATACCAACTCTAATGCCAGCAAATCCTGAGGGTTTCTCTTATTGGCTGACTTTCACGGGGTGATGACACTGGTGTTTGTTTGGCAGGGTGAACCAGGGGGTGCCGGTGCTGACGGAGCTCCAGGAAAGGATGGGCCAAGGGTGAGTATTCACATTGGAAGAAATGAGCCTTGATAATGTGCAATGTGTGGTAGACCCTACTTCAGCTTTCACCATTTCAAAAAACTACTCTCATTAAATAAGATCATGTTACCACATTCTGGACATTAAAAAGACACTAATCACCTGACTGTTCAAATTCTGACTTTGCATCTATCACTCCCTGATAGTTCTACTGTGCCCTAAGAATGAAGAGAATCCTTAATAATATGAAAAACAAAAGCCAGGAATGACTACCATAATTTGTCAATAAAATCAAAAATAATTAATATTGCTAAGTAATACAGTTTTAAGAGGTATTTCAATAAGATCCTATATCACATTTTATTTATCTTCCCTAATAAAGGCAAAAAAGAATGAATCAATGAACTCACTGAATTCAACTAACTTCTATGATCATACTCACAGAATACATAGCGATGAATGTATCATTTGAAACAAAAACTGATCAGCTTTTGTAGATGAATGTCTCCACACTCTGATTAATAAAAGAAATGCAGTTTATTTCTTTCAAACTAAAATTAATCTTTCTGCAGGGTCCTACTGGTCCTATTGGTCCCCCTGGCCCAGCTGGTCAGCCTGGAGATAAGGTAACAACACTGTTGGAAACAAAAGTCAACCTTTGCTTCAGTAGATTCAGAACAATGACAGCATCATTTGGTCTTTTCTCAGGGTGAAGGTGGTGCCCCTGGACTTCCGGGTATAGCTGGACCTCGAGGTGGCCCTGTGAGTATTAAAGGAATTTTCAACATATTCTTAACCCTACACAGGCTATTGCCTTGTTTTAGCAGCTTTGTCCCTGGTACTCTGATCCTAATGCATGACTCTATCTTTAAAATATATGAGATGAAAGAAACTATTTAAAAATTAAAATCCACAGGAGATTATTTTTTAGGTAGCTTATTTCCTGAATAACTCTGAGGAAAGTACATAAATTGAAAGATACTACACATTTCTAAATGAGCATTACTTAAACTTTGCCAGGAGCACCCTTCCAAATCAAAAACCCTTTGCCTTGTGTTTTTGTTTAAGCGATGTATTAATTGATGTCTTACACTTTTGACATGTTTTAAATAATTTATATTTAGAAGTTATATAAATGTATCTATATTTGAACACTTTGAAGATATATTCCTTGAAAGTTATATCACAGTCCAGAGACAAAAGAAATCAGCAGCTCTGGTTTTCCTTTCTAATTTTGATAAGAAGTAAAACAGACTTCTAGGTTAAACTGTGTTTGCTTCGTTGGCACATTTCCCACTAAAGGAAGATGAGATGATGCAGAGGACATAGCATGATCCCTGTGGGGAAGGCCCTCATTGTGACTAACAATATATTTTCCTTCAGGGTGAGAGAGGTGAACATGGGCCTCCAGGACCTGCTGGCTTCCCGGGTGCTCCTGTAAGTATGGATGTCTAAGGATGAATGTCTCAGTGCCCATTTTGCCATCTTGCCAGAAACTAGTAGACACAAGTTACTCTAGTTCCAGTCTTTCTTCAGCTACTTTACCGTTCAAAGCTACTTTACCAATTTTTAGGTAACTTAAACACCTATCCTTCCTTATGTTTGGGCAACGGGGAAACACACCATCATGACGCTCATTTTCAAATTCACAGTCCTTGGAAAGACTTCTCCCAAATGCCAAATCATATTTTCTTCCTCCTCGTCTTTTCTCCTTCTCTTTTCTCCCAATATTTTTATTGATTTTGCTTTGGCTTGTCTTCAGAGAGCTTCCTATTCTTGTTTGATAGCAACATCTCCCAGCTTTAAAAAAAAGGTCTATATTCAAAAAGAAATGATAAGCCAAGAGCATTGTGAAGGAAGTCAGCTCACAGGCTGTCACTGTTGCTATGTGCAGGGACAGAATGGTGAACCAGGCGCTAAAGGAGAAAGAGGTGCCCCTGGAGAGAAAGGAGAAGGAGGCCCTCCTGGACCTGCAGGACTTCCTGGAGGTTCTGGACCTGCTGTAAGTCTTATTGCTAAGCCTAAAAACATCTTGGTTCATTAATAACTTAACATTTCATGTAAGATTTTGTGTTATGGGGGGAGAATGTAATCTTTAAAAGAATGTAGTCCTTAATTTGAATTTTGGTTTCAGTAGACTAGATATGATCATATGTGAGCTCTTATGATCTTTAGGGGAACATTACTGGTTTCCTAATGCGTAATACTTTTGTTAAAGTTTTATTTTGGTGCTGTATTTAATATGCCTTTCCTCCCCTTTGTGTTTAGGGTCCTCCTGGTCCTCAAGGTGTCAAGGGTGAACGTGGCAGTCCTGGTGGTCCTGTGAGTATTGATCCTCTTAACATCACTCAATGAACTGTGACTGAAAAGACGAGTCCAATCTATGTAAAGACCACCTAATGACACTAGAGCCACAGAGAGAAGATGAAAGTCAGTCAGTCAGTCAGTCAGTCAGTCATTGGCAGTTGTGTGTAAATTTGAAGCAGAGGTGCAAGCCATAAATAACTTTAAGATGGAATTCAGGTCCTGGCCCATTTCTTATCTTCACACTTGTGTGTGCACAGATTTGTGTTCTAGTTTTGCACTAATGAGGGTGTTTCCATTTCACAGGGTGCTGCTGGCTTTCCTGGTGGACGTGGTCTTCCTGGTCCTCCCGGCAACAATGTAAGCATTTTCCAGTCTTTTTTAAATGTATCTCACAGAATGACTTCATGTATCTAAGATGAGGAAGTGATATTTTAATATGTATCTGTCAAATCCTATATAAAATTGAAAATAAGTAAAAGGCAAGGAAAACAACCAAGATTCTTAATATACATGTTTAAATTTTAATTATTTGCAGGGTAACCCAGGCCCCCCAGGGCCTAGTGGTGCTCCTGGCAAGGATGGTCCTCCAGGTCCTGCTGGTAACAGTGGTTCCCCTGGCAACCCGGGAGTAGCTGGACCAAAAGGTGATGCTGGTCAGCCTGGAGAGAAGGGACCACCTGGTGCTCAAGGCCCTCCGGTGAGTGTTCTGCTATTCTGTTGATTGACCATATATTTTTATGACAAATTTAATAAGGGAAATATAACTGTATAGAAATGAGCTGAATCCTCCTTATCTATTATAACAGGGATCTCCAGGCCCACTTGGAATTGCAGGACTTACAGGAGCACGAGGTCTTGCTGGACCACCAGGCATGCCAGGTCCTAGGGGTAGCCCTGGGCCTCAAGGTATCAAGGTAAGTGTAGTTACCTTACACTGGATTCTTGCTTCCCTTCACGGATGTAGAGATTTCTTCACTGTATCAGATATGAGAGTGTTTCTAGTCAATATGCAAATTATGAAAGAGCTGACCTTCTTGACACTTCTAGGTTTACAAAACCAAACTTTTGGACACTTGTGAGCATCCCTCAATTTGTTCATTGTAACTATGAAGGGAGAAACTTTTCAGCTCATAAATATATAAGACTTTAATTGATATCAATTACTCATCCCTTCAAGTCATTTTACACTCTTGGTTTTCTTTCATTGCTATTACCATAACAGTATAGTGCTCAGTATCTGAATTGTGCATTCAGCAAATAAACTAACACAATTCCATTTGTATCTGATTCCATAATATGAAACTTTATGTACCATTTTCAAAATACGTCAGAAAATAACAGCAGGAAATTTAACAATAATTAGCATATCTAGCAAGATTCTAATAAATCCTGATTCTAGGTCACCGAAGTGATGGTTTATCATTATTATTTCTATTGTTCTACCCATAAGTTTCTGTTCCTCACAACCAAATGTTTTAAAAGAACTTTTTGCCATTCTGAAATCACTGTGCAGTTTGGAAACTCCAAAAAGTTTGCTCCCCCAATTCTTCCTTTATGAAGGGCATGGTGTCAAGAAAGTTGAACATCAATAGAAATTTAATAAAACACATTTTGCCCTCCAAAATAAAGAAATCTATTAACACCCTACTAGTTGATGTCTTAAATTGAAATGTCTTTTATTTCTTTTTACACAGGGTGAAAGTGGAAAACCGGGAGCCAGTGGCCATAATGGAGAACGTGGTCCTCCTGGACCCCAAGGTCTTCCTGGTCAACCTGGTACAGCTGGTGAACCCGGAAGGGATGTGAGTAGCAATTCAGGGAATATGTTCAACCAATCAGCTAATATTCAAGTTAAATTATATTTATTTAATTTAATTCCACTAAATTATATTTATTTAATTGTGTTTGTGTGTGTAAACCTGAGCACATAGGAACCATGCTATACACATGAAGGTCAGAGGATAGCTTTCAAGTGTCAGTTCTATCCTTCCACCATGTAGCTCCCCAGAAGTGAACTCAAGTCATCAGGCTTAGTCACAAGTGCCTATAGCCATTGAACCAGCTCTCCAGTCTTATGTCCTACATAGCCACATTCTCCTTCCTTCTCTGGTAATCATCCTGCTGTAAGTTAGAATAGTATAAAGCCCCCTGACCAACAATATCCCCCAATAAATTCATTAATAAAGGAGATACAACTGCTAACTAATTTAGGAAACAGGTTAAGGAAGAAAATTACAACATACATGTTTTATAAAAATATTCTTTATTCATTGGTAATTATTGTTAATTTTCAATTAATATTTTATATTAACAAAATATATTTAACAAGATGCTTCGTGATTTTTGAGAGCTATATTTAATGTGGAAATATTAAGTAAAGTTTAATTTTAGATTTCCATCATTTTCAATTAATATTTTATATTAACAAAATATATTTAACAAGATGCTTCATGATTTTTGAGAGCTATATTTAATGGGGAAATATTAAGTAAAGTTTAATTTTAGATTTCCATTATAAATTTAGATCTCCATTTCTCAAAAATTATTTGTTAGCTACTGTAAATACCACTTTAAGGTTTTTTTAAAAAAATTATTACTCTCCTCATATCATTTTGTGAAATTTTAGGAAAATAGACATCCTACATATCTGTCAAAGAATTACAATGCTTCGAAGAAATAATCCACATTGTAATATATGTAATTTCTTGTCACCAAAAACAACTTTTCATTTCCACTAGAAGACAGACAGTAAGGGGACAGGGACATGAAAGGGAAGGAAAATTTACTATTCTTTGCTCAAAAATGCCATAGTGCTATCTAATGCTCTGTACAGCAATTAGAAATATTTAAAAAGAATAAAAGCTTTGCATAGTATTTGGATAATTTCAAGTCATTTCTCTCCCCCTCCTCTTTCACCAGGGAAACCCTGGATCAGATGGTCAGCCAGGACGAGATGGATCTCCTGGTGGCAAGGTATAACAAACCCATGTAAAGAAGGCACGCATAATTAAATGAGATGGCTGCCACAGATATGTGAGATCCATGCATTTGTTCTAGGGTGATCGTGGTGAAAATGGCTCTCCTGGTGCCCCAGGCGCTCCTGGTCATCCAGGACCACCTGGTCCTGTTGGTCCAGCTGGGAAAAGTGGTGACAGAGGAGAAACGGTGAGTTCTAATACACTCTTCTCTATATATGTGACCTGGTCCCTCAAAAAAAGAGACTGGGGTTGGGAGAGGATGTTACTTCTGCCCCTTGTATACGTCTCTGCTGATATCTTTCAGTATTAATTGGGACATCTGCCTATTTGCTGCAGGAATGCAGTCAGAATGAACAGAACTCTCTTTTCCTACTTTGTTTGTTTAAACCCTTTGGAAAGATTAAGGAAGGGAACAGATTTTGAAGGATAGAGCATTATTAGCTTCCAAAAATAGTGTGTGCGCTATTTCCCACAACAGAGCAAGTAATTGTACAAGGAGAACTATTTTCATTTTGCTAAAACTTAATTTTTTAATTAATTTAGAAATTATAGTTAACTTTTATGCACTATATTTTGATCATCTTCCCCTCCCCCATTCCTCTCGGCTCCTCCTGTCCTCCCTGCACACTCAACTTTGTAAAATGGAGGTGTGTAAGAGGCTCCACTCAGTTACACATGCAGTTGCTCACTTGTTTGCTTGCCTCCTAGGGGCCTGCTGGTCCTTCTGGTGCTCCAGGTCCTGCTGGATCTCGCGGTCCTCCCGTAAGTATTGAACATTTGTGCTATTGTATTTTTAAACTCATTTTAGAGTGTAAAAAGGCACTCTATTGCTATTTTGAAATGTCTAAAAATTGGTCAGCATAACAGACACATAACTATGGAGAAAATACAAACTTATATTTGATGATACAGAAAGCAATTCAGCTTCTAAACTAAAAGTTCCACACAGCTCATCACACAAACATCAATTATGAGGATTACAATTACCAATCCAAAATTTAAACTGAAACAATCTTTGTTATTTGCAAAGTATCTTTTGATGGGAAGTTCTAGCTAATGGGATCCTGTAGAATATAGTACATTTATTAACTACAATCTAAGAAGATGGTATATAATAAATTTATTATTATAAAGGTAATAGAATTCTGTAGCCATAACAGACTTATTATAAATCCAAAATTTATTTTCTCAACATGTTTGTATAATAATGACCTTAATTTGAAATACATTTCTAAAGGGTCCCCAAGGTCCTCGAGGTGACAAAGGTGAAACTGGTGAACGTGGCTCCAATGGCATCAAAGGACATCGAGGATTCCCTGGCAATCCAGGTCCCCCAGGTTCTCCTGTGAGTGCTTCCACTTTTTCAAATACTCCTTTACTGCATGGCTGATGAGAGAGACTCAGAGTAGAACACTTTCCACCTCTGAACATATGCACTAGAAAAGATGAGACATGAACTCAAGAGCTTATTTAAAATAATGGTTTGCCATGAAACAAGGGAATGAAAGAGATGTTTATTTCATCATGATCACTGTGTTCTGGACTGATCTTTAACAGTCCCTTCCATAAGCCGTGGGAGATCTTCATTGGTTTTTGTCCTTCTTCCCTTTGCAGGGTGCTGCTGGTCACCAGGGTGCAGTTGGTAGTCCTGGACCTGCAGGTCCCAGAGTAAGTGTCAGAGAAGTACATCAGAAGGTGCATATCTCAAAATGTTCACACTGCAGGAATACATTCTAGCATCATAACATCATGTTCCTTTCTTAAGGGACCAGTTGGACCACATGGGCCTCCTGGAAAAGACGGAACTAGTGGGCATCCAGGTCCCATTGGACCACCAGGACCTCGAGGCAACAGAGGTGAAAGAGGATCTGAAGTAAGACACTGCTTATACATTCTTGATTTAACTTGTTATAAAACATCGTTTCACAAACACCGCCTTGCTTTTAAACTGAGGTATTTAACACAGTCTTGATTACATTAAGACTTTTTAATGCCACAGTAACACGAAGAAAAAAGTTATAGTTTGATGAGTCGTTTTTCCATACAATGGCATTTACTAAACCAACCAAATAAACCATGCCATGCTGATCTCACACCAAAGGACTCACAGATATAACTTTATTTTTGTAGAGGTCTTGCTAATTAAATAGCCCTTACAATTCCTGCCTTCCTACTGATAAAATTATGGCTTGTGTCTTCATACTCCACAGCATTGAGGCAAATGTTTTTTTTTAAAAAAAAAAAACCTGATAAAATTATGGCTTGTGTCTTCATACTCCACAGCATTGAGGCAAATATTTAAAAAAAAAACATTGTTTTGACAAATAAACATGTGACAAATGGAAAAACCAATAAGTTGCAAGCACAAAGATACAATCGTAATGGGAAATTTGGGCCTAGAAGACAAAGTCCCTGTTTTATTCCTTTTCCTGTCAGTATTTGAATTGTGCTTTTAGGGCTGTTTGGTTACATCTTTATTTATACAGGAGAAATGATAAAGTTTGTCCTCGATACTATTTATTCTTCCATAATAGAATAACATGTTTGTTGGTAATGAATTACATTTGCTATAAATTGACAATCATGAGCCTACAAAATCATCTACATTTTTTAAATTAAAGCAATTGTAGCAACATATGTGGATTGCTTATAATCCATTTTCATAGACAAGTGGCATAGACCTTCAGTGGAGACCCAAGAAAAGATCTTCAGTGATGCATATTTTTACCCACCTAGGGCTCACCAGGCCACCCTGGGCAGCCAGGCCCCCCTGGACCTCCTGGTGCACCTGGTCCTTGCTGTGGTGGAGGTGCTGCTGCCCTTGGAGGTGGTGGTGAAAAGTCTGGTGGATTTTCACCATATTATGGAGATGAACCAATGGATTTCAAGATTAACACCGAGGAGATTATGTCTTCACTCAAGTCTGTTAATGGACAAATAGAAAGCCTCATTAGTCCTGATGGTTCTCGTAAAAACCCTGCTCGCAACTGCAGAGACCTGAAATTCTGCCATCCTGATCTCAAGAGCGGTATGTTTGAGTCTTTATCACTGGTGGCTGTAGACTTACAGAAAAGTCTGCTCTACTAGCATTTGACCAAGAAAATTTTTCTGATGGGAAGTATTTTAAAGCCAATATACTATCCAAACATTGCTAATTAAGTTGAAAACAATAGATAGTAAAGGGGAAAAACAATACTTAAAGGTGTAGTTAAAGTATAACATAAGTAACTGCAAAATATTGCAAATATAAGAAAATGTAAGGACAGTTTTATGAAAATTTAACACAAATGTTTCTAAATATCAAAACAAAAATGATTTAGATGATCAAGTAGCATGTATCATCCTATTCCTATGGTTAGATAGGCATAATTTTATTATTTTTATTATTGTATTATATTTTTATTAGAATTCATTTTAATGAACTAATGATTAAATTTTAATAGTTTTATTAAATCACTCCTGTCTTTTATCTACTATGGGATGTCTAACTTTATCTTTATTACTAAAGTATATTTATTATAATCAATATATAATTACTCTATTATTTTCAAATTTTGAAATATTTCAAAATTATTTCAACTTTTAAATATCTTGACACAGACCACTTCTTTTGCTCAGAGTAACCTTGGGCATTATATAAAATCGGAGCTAAGTGTCAGTTAAATTAAACCATGATGCCATAAGTCTGAACATAAGTCTGTTACCTTTAAAATAAAAAATGAGATTTAGACAGGTATAACACACCAATCTATATGTCAGTCAATGGCTTTATTTTTTTTAAATTTTAGTACTTCTATGTTTCTTACTAGTTTTTTCACTTCAGAAATATCTATCAGGCATACTATTTATTATACACAAAGGCCTTAGCACTCAATGTTCTGAACCAAATAAGCAAGCAAATCTTCTGGCCCAGGCTCCACTTCTGAATTTAAAACCAATTCCCATTATCTCATTTGGTGACTTTTCAGGAGAATATTGGGTTGATCCTAACCAAGGTTGCAAGATGGATGCTATCAAAGTATTCTGTAACATGGAAACCGGGGAGACATGCATAAATGCTAGTCCTATGACTGTGCCACGGAAGAACTGGTGGACAGATGCCTCTGCTGAAAAGAAACATGTTTGGTTTGGAGAATCTATGAATGGTGGATTTCAGGTGAGAAAAGATTAAAGTATGCCAAAATACCTTCCATTTTATTTTTCTTCTTACTTTTTCTTGGTTACTAAGTAGAATACTGCAAACTTTTGTCTGGTTAGAAAACCATTACTCCTATAAAAGGCTAAATTATACCAGTTCAGTTGAGTGTAAACAGCTTTCCTTCCTTGCTAAGCTATTTACCTCTGCATACAATAAAATATAATCACATAACAGATATGAAGAACTTGGAGTGCAATGTCCATGCTGATATTGCATGAATCCCTTACCTGAGGCTGCAGTCACAGCCTTTGTTGTATTCTTTTGTCTGGTTACAGTTCAGTTATGGCAATCCTGATCTTCCTGAAGATGTCCTTGATGTACAGCTGGCTTACCTCAGACTCCTCTCCAGCCGGGCTTCCCAGAACATTACATACCACTGCAAGAACAGCATTGCCTACATGGATCAGGCCAGTGGCAATGTAAAGAAGTCTCTAAAGCTGATGGGATCAAATGAAGGGGAATTCAAGGCTGAAGGAAACAGCAAATTCACTTACACAGTTCTGGAGGATGGCTGTGCTGTAAGTAACAATGTCTTTGAAGCAAAATGGCAGATAATGTCAGAATTTGTGGCTTAATCATGCAAACTCTTTTGCCAAAAAGAAATCAGTAAGGGAGTCAAAAGCTGCCTAGTGGCATGAATTATTTAACATCTACTTATTTGTTCTAGAAAATGTTAAATATTACAAAAATTGAATAGACCCTAACTTCTAGATGGAAAACATTAGAAATGAAAATGATTGAAATTTAACTCATAACAACTTAGATAACCGTGAATATTTACTGTATATTATATATACTATTTATTATATAAGCTCTATCCAATATAACCACTTTTTAAAAACTGTAAAGATTTAAGTCTGAGTTAAGATCTATTCTGTTTCTCATAACGGATTAAAAGGAGGAACTCACTTCAGATGCTAACCACTCATATTGTAAGTGACTCACCCACTTCTTAACAACTATAATATGGAAGCAACAACCAGAACCAGGCTTGAGAGTGGGTTAGTCTATGATAATCTCCCTTCTGGGTACATTAAACTTCAAATACAGAAGTTCTCAAATGTCTAGAAGGTTCCATGTGTACTAACTATTCCATGAGAGTAGAAGATGGTTTTCTCACATGATCGGTGAAGGAGAGTATTTAAGTAACTGTGATGCCCTGGTTCTTTTCTTACACAATCTTTTCCTTTTTTGAATAGAAACACACTGGGGAGTGGAGCAAAACAGTCTTCGAATACCGAACGCGCAAGGCCCTGAGACTGCCCATCATAGATATCGCACCCTATGACATCGGTGGTCCCGATCAAGAATTTGGTGTGGACATTGGCCCTGTTTGCTTTTTATAAGCCAACTCTATCTGAAACCCCAGCAAAACAAAATCGCATCCATGTGTTCTTCTTGTTATAATCTTGTCAACCAGTGCAAGTGACCAACTAAATTCCAGTTATTTATTTCCAAATTTTTGGAAAAAAAAGTATAATTTGACAAAAAAGAATACAATTTTCTTGCCATTCCATCCACCCAGTACAGTTCAAATGCTTTTTGTTTTATTTTTTTACCAATTCCAACTTCAAAATGTCTCAATGGTGCTATAATAAATAAACGTCAACACTTTTATGATAACACTGCGTTACATTCTTTGGACTCCAGGCCACCTGCAGAGCAAAGGTCACATTTACCAGCCAAAGAATATCATTCTTTTCCAAACAAGCAAAGACGAAATTAGAAATGACCTCTCTATTTTAACTACCTCAACTGTTCAGACAGATAAATTCTGAGTCACAGAAGACTACACAATTTTCTATCACTTGACAAAACTTATGAGTTTCCTCAGTTACATGTAGAATGCTGGGAAAATCGAATCTTAGACTGCAGTGCAGGGAAGGAGCACTTTCAGTTCACAATGTCTTCATCCTAGGTAGCAATGCTTCTAAAGGTGCTTCTCTTCTGTCATTGCTGGTGAACTTGCCAATATTTGAGAGGGCCCTAAAGACACATGTTCCGGTGCTACTGTTTTCTCACTTTTAGAACTCCAAATCAAAATTAGTGAGCTTCACTCAAGCCTTAAATGCACAATATCTGTCCCTGTCACCCAGAATGATTAATTGGCATGCTGCAGGAGCCTTTCTCCCTTTACTCTGTAAAAATCAACAACAAAAAACAAGTTTGAGTTGCTTTTGTCACAATAACAGAGACTATTTTAAACTTTTTCTTTTGTAAGTTTGTATGTGGTTGTTGATTTTTTTCTCTCTTACAATCACTCATAATAAAATATCATGATGAAATAGTCCTGCTTTTTTCAGTGCTCACAGATTTAACAATAGCATGTTTACATGCAAGAACTTCAGTAATTTTCTAGAAAAATTCCAGTTGTATAGTTCAGGAATATAATGATTTAAAAATATGACATGTCATATATGTAGAATAAAGATATATGTCCAAGTGGGAATAAGAAAGAAGATGCTAGCAAGTTATTAGAAAAAGATGGGCTTCAGCAAAATGCAAATACCAGGTCCCTTTACCTGCATGTGCAATGTGAAGATATTGAAGAAAGATAGGAAATTGATTACCAGGGGCTATGAGTGGGATGATATTGAGGTCATTTTAATCAATAAATATAAAATATAAATATAACAGGAGTAAGTTTAAAATATCTATTGGTGACTGCAATTAATAATACATACTTCAAGTTACTTTTAATTTTTGATGCACAAGTCCCCAAATATGCCACTATTTTTATTTTTGAGACAGGACTTGCTAAGTTTCCTTCCTTGCTAAGTCTCTTGAGCTCACTCTGTAGGTTAGGAGTTCTGAAATGTAACACTTCTGTCCCAGCCTCTTGGGAAGCTAGAATTCTAAGCATGGCTATCATGCTCAACTCATGATAGGTTTTATTATGAGATTTCCATACCTGCATTTAATATATTTTGCGCATTTCCACTTTCAATTTGAAATACTTTCCTTAGTAATATATAGCGTGGGCAAACACTCAAATTAGAAAGACAAATGTCCAAATTGATTATGTTGCTAAGTGTGTTAACTAAAACAGTAAGAACAATGCATAGGGGGACCAACTGAGCTGCTAGCAAGGTGATGTTTAGACCCGGGAGTACAGCCAAGTGTAGTGTTGCCTAGCAGGTGAATAGTAAGGAAATCTATTATTTTAGATTATCAATATACCCTTATATGAAACGTCTAATAAAATCATTCCAATCAAATATTAGCCTAGAAATAACCTGTATGAACTGCCTTTTGTTTTATAATTTGGATATGCTTAGTTTGCATATTTATGATGCTATAATGCATTCTGTACATATTATTTACATATAGGTTATATATGCATAATAATTTTATGCATAAAGAAATAATGAGTGCAAACTAAGAATATGAATTAAATAATATTTATTATAATTTTATTTTAAAGGGATTTTAGATATAGAGCAAAGGATTACCAGCATACAATCCATACCACCAAAGAAGCTAGGAAACAAGGAGGACTCTAAAAGAGACATACATGGTCCCCTGGAGAAGAGGAAAGGGACAAGAAAGATCTCCTGAGCAAATTAGGAACATAGGGGGAGGGGGGAGGGAGCTAGGAGAATGAGAAGGGGAGAAGAGGAGGGAAGAGGAGGACATGAGGGAGTAGAAAGTTTGAGTGGGGGAAGAATAGAAGAGAGAAAGATAAGAGATATCATAATAGAGGGAGCCATTATAGGTTTAAAGGGAAATCAGGCATAGGGAAATGTCCAGAGATCTATAAGGATGATACCAACTAACAATATAAGCAACAGGTGAGAGGCTACCTTAAATGTCCACCCCTGGTAATGAGGTTGATTACTACTTTATATGTCATCCTGGAGCCTTTATCCAGTAGCTGATGAAAGTAGAAGCAGACACCCACAGCTAAACACTGAACTGAACTGGAATCCAGTTGTAGAGAGGGAGGAGTGATGTGAAAAGGGGTTAAGACCAGGCTGGTGAAACTTACAGAAACAGCTGACCTGAACAAGGGGGAGCTCATCGACCCTAGACTGATAGCTGGGAAACCAGCATAGGACTGATTCAGACCCCATGAACGTGGGTGTCAGTGAGAAGGCCTCGGAAATCTATGGGGCCTCTGGTAGTAGATCAGTACTTACCCCTAGCATAGGAATGGACTTTGTGAGCCCATTCCAGAAAAGGGATACTATCTCAGCCTAGACCCATGGGGGAGGGCCTAGGCCCTATCCCGAAGGATATGGCAGACGCTAAAGATTCCCCATGGAAGACCTCACCCTCCCTGGGGAGCAGAAAGAGTATGGGATATGTAAGGTGTTAGTCAGGGGCAGGGGAGGAGGGAAGGGAGAGGGAACTGGGATTGACATGTAAAGCAATCATGTTTCTAATTTAAATTAAAAATGGAAAAAAATAATTTTATTTTAAATTAAGAGGAACATATGAAATATAACACTTGACTCCTGTATCTACAACTTAGTGTATCATGGAGCTTTAATACTTTGTGTGCTCTTTATACTTAATATTCAGTTTAATGGATAGAATTTATTTGACAGTATTAAGCACGTAAACATAAACTAAGCATCTAAACATCCTGCAAGGAATTTGATTAGTCAGATGCACATGCCTGCAGTTGTCTCTCTAAAGATAATTGTGTTAGTTTCAAATTACTGCTGAAGCACATATACTAGATTTGTGCTTTTACATTTCTGGAGGTCAAAATCCTAAACTAGATCAACTGAGCAAACATGAAGTGTTAATCAAGTCTGTGTTCCTCCTGAGAGACTCTGAGGCAAACTATTATTTTCCTTTTCAAGGCTTCTGGAGATGATTGGGGTTCCTTTTGTCTGTGAGCCACTGTTATTTTCAAAGCCCCAGTACTTGGTTGAGCATTTCTCACATCACAGGACTCTGATGTTGCCTCTTCTTTTCTTTAGTGTAAAAGCACCTGTCTCACAACTTAAGTCCAACTGAATGATCCAGGACAATCGCTTTTCAAAACATGCTAACATTTCTGCTGTTCTTGAAAGACAAAATAGCTATTAGGCCATTGTCATCATATACCATTCCCACTATAAGTCTGCTGTGTCTAGACTTACAAACAGAATCAGATCTCAGAATGCTTCAGGGAGTAAAAATTAAAATGTCAGTCTCAGGAAGAGGCTGAAACAAAAGAATTAACAGACTTCATATATTCATACTGCCCAAAGTTTAGAAAATATGTGTGCCAGTTGTGAGAAACAAGACAAGGATCATGAATTTTAGGGAAAAAATTATCAATTCATAAACATAGTAGGAAGTTCTAGGAATATTTATTAACATGGATATTTAAGTAAACTTAGATCTCAGATCTGCTGAAGCTGAACAAATCTGAGACTCAGAATCTTCCTGGCAGGCAAATAATGTAAGGTTTTTAGCCATATTGTGTCCATGTCAAGTAGGGAATTTTGAATACTTGGGCTCAGCTAGCTTTCTACTTTTTATTCAGTTCCAGAAACCCAGTCCATGGAATAATGTGTCCCATTCCGTGATGGGTCTTTTCATCTCAATTTATATTACCTAGATAATAGTTCACAGACATTCTCTATTGTGACCCAGCATGTTTCAGCCTTAACCCATGAGGTTTGGCCTG